CTCCTCCTCCTCCTCCTCCTCCTCCTCCATCAACTTTACTTCAGTGGACAGTGATGAAGTCTTCAGTGAAGGAGATGATGCCAGCAAAAACAGGAAGAAGAAGGAAGGAGGTATAAGGAAGGTGAGGATGGAGGAGTTCAGCAGTGCTAATCTTCAGTTAGCTCTGATTGCAAATGACCACAAAGGTCAAGACCTGTTTGGTTTTCTGGAAAAAAAAAATCTAAAATATAGTTTTGCAGCAGACGGAACATTTCATCTGGCTGATTTGCATAGGATGAGGAGCTTTTATACAAGAAAGTTATCGCAGTGTCATTTGAATAATATTTGCACGCAGCCGTTGTTGTTACAGACATGAATAGAGGCCTTCAAACTTGGACAGCAGATGTTTTTGTGCCAGAGAAAACAGCATTAAAAACTTGGAATGCTAAATATAAATTTGAATTCAATTTACAAACGTTGAATACAGTTCGTAACATTATCACAGGGACAGTGACAGTAACATTTTCCAGCCTCCAACCAAAATTTGTTTATCTTGATTACTTACTTTTTGAAGCATAAACAACTGCATGAAAAGCAAAGGTATATGTTGTCCAAAATATATTTCTAGATGTTCTAGGTTCTATTGATATACCCACATAATACTACAGTCAACAGGACCAGCAGGGACTCTGCTGTCTGCTCACTTTCATACTTCTGTGTCTTAGTGTCGCTCCTGGAAGACCTACCTCCGAATGGTGTCAATGGGACGGCAGAGCTCCTGGGTCCAGGTGGCCGGACATCGAGGCACGTGTGTTAGAACGCATCATCAACACAGTCACAGCTACATTTGTGGACGTGTATTAAAAAGACACGAGTGCCTGACTCATTTTGGTCACAGACTGGTTCACCAGTTTGAGCTTTTCTTCATGACACCACATGAACAAAACTGCATGTGTTTTTATTCCTACCATTAATGGATTAAATGGTTCTAAATATACGTCACCATTTTCACAGACTACAACCAGTATAAATCATTAGGCCAATGATGTGTTGGTATTCTTTTTTACCATATATCGCTATATCACAATAAGGTCAACTCATAATAAGAGAACAATGTGGCTAATTTCTTCTACTGTCATCAGGTAACTTCCAGCTGAGTGGAGGAGAGGTGCTGAAACGGTACAATGACGAGGAGGCAAAGTGCCTGGACTGTCTGATGTCAGACTCACTGAGACCCTTTGTCCCACAATACCATGGGGCAGTCACCAGGGGGGAGCACTGCTACATGCGCCTGGAAGATCTGCTGCAGGGTCTGAGGAGGCCCGTGATCATGGACTGCAAAATGGGAGTCAGGTAGGTTTCTCCAGAGGTCATAGGTGCACACCTGATCAAAGCTGACCCCGGGTCAGGGGTCACACGAAGATGCATTCTACATGAGTTCAAACAGTTGTTAATACACGTATCGTGTTTAACGATGCTGTGTGGTCAGGACCTTCCAGGAGGACGAACTGGTCAAAGCTCAGGCCCAAGCCACTCTGCGCAGTGATATGTACTACAAGATGCTGAAAATAGAACCATCGACTCTGTCTGCTGAGGAACACGCACAGAAAGGTGTGACTAAGTCACGCTACCTTCAGTGGAGGGACTCGACCACTACCACATCCACACTCGGCTTCAGGATAGAGGCCATCATGGTAGGTGTGGAACCTGTCGGTAGTTAAAAGAGCTGTTTGATCTGTCTAAGTCTGTAGTTATGTCCTGTCTGTGCCGGACAGATAGAAGACAGCAGCGTCCAAAGAGACTTCCGAAACATTCGGACTCTGGCTGAGGTCACCGAGGTATTGCTCTGTTTCACCAAAAGTCAGCTGGACATTCTGGTCAGTCCTGAAATACTTGTACATTTAAAACTAGTCTTGATGTAATAATTCATTTTCATGTGGTCTGTAGACCATCGCCTAACACTGTCTTCTCCTCATTTACTATTTATTTTTGGATCTTTTCTATTGCTGCACCCAGAAAGCGTATCACTCCAGACTCCTGGCCATCAGTGATGCCTTGATGGAGTCACATTTTTTCAAAACCCATGAGGTTGGTACACAGAGTATAATTTTCTTCTATGAAAGTGTGACGTTAGATGAGTTCATTGGTAGAAGCCTTAAAGTGAGCTTTTTGAAAAAGAAGTTGGTGAACGATGAAATTAGGTTTTGACGGCAGCCAGACAGAAGAAAGCAAAGAATTTAAAGAATAAAGTTCACCTTGTTTTACCAAATGCAGTCTTTCCGTCTAAGAACACTCAGTAGTTCTTACAGCGTTGTATCTTTACAGAATTTTGAGCTGAAGAAATAATTAGATAGAGGACGAAAGAAAAACTTTTCCTGATTCTTCTTAGTGATCTTTCTTCTTCCATGTAGATCCAGTGTTCTCACTATATCGTATCATCCTTTGCTCTGATCAGGTGATTGGCAGCTCGCTTCTCTTTGTCCACGACTACAGCCTCAAAGCCAGTGTGTGGATGATAGACTTTGGGAAGACAACTCCAGTTCATGACACTATTCAACTCCAGCACAACACGCCGTGGCTGGAGGGGAACAGAGAGGACGGTTACCTCATCGGTCTGACCTCACTCATTTCGTCCCTGAGCCAGGCCATCAGTGCGGTTTCCCGTCAGCAGCAGGAGGAGAGCGATCACATGAACGACACTGAGGGCTGTAACTGACACACTGCTCAAACATACACACACACACACACACACACACCCCTGGTACTAATCAGATGCTGTTACACACTGAGCAGTTACCTCAATTTATTTAGTCAAAGAGAAAATAAACAGATGATTGTTTGTCTACGGGAACCCTGTCTTCAAACCATGTGGACTTTAATCACCCAGTCCTCCAGGTACATTATATCGTAAGCAAATGTATCTCTTAGCACTTAAACACATGCTGAACCTCAACATTTCAAAGTTGACAAAATGCTTTGCATGTAGAAAATAAAATCTTTCTAAAAAACTATTGAGCCTTTACACAGAGAACTGGGAACTGTGACTTTGAACATGTGTACAGCAACAGACAAAAACAAATTGAGCAACAAAGAGTACCAGGATCAAATGTTCCATCTCTCCAACATTTTGAAAAAAATATTTTTTTTTATTGTTAAACACAATAAAACAGATTAGGATAAACAAAAGTAGCCATCTGTCCTTTCTACAAAACAGTGATTTTCTGTACAAACCATCAAAAGCTGAGGTTTTGATGACAGACAATTGTTTAACAACAACAACTGTTGGTCTAACTGTTGACATTTGGCTGATGAAACAGAACAAATTCAAAAGTTCACATTATCTATGATATTCTTTAAAAGAAAAAACCAAAGTCAACAGTAAAGGATAAAACAAAAGCCGTAAATATCATTGCTGAAGTTTCAGTTTCACAGTTGACTTGTTCCACGTTTCTTCATTTTATGAAAGCCACGTCTGGAATCTGGCCTTTGGTCTGAAACAGAGAAGGGAAAAACATTAGAGGTTTCCTACAAAAATGATCGCCAACTTTTATAAATGAGAACAACTGGAGGTTGTTTTACCTTTAACTGAGTAAAGATTTGTGCTGCTCTGTTGAAGTCCCACTCATTGTCCTGCAAACACCTGTCACAAAAAGAAAACACGTTGAGAAATCTCTTCAGGAAATAAAACCTTTTACCACTCAAACATTTGAGCACACGCTCAAACACACGCAGACACACTTACTTCTGGGACCATTCCAGGTTCATGCCAGACTTCTGTGAAAAGGCGGTGAGCATCTCCTGCTGCGGTGCAGTGAGGGTTGGCACAGGACTGGAAGACGGAGTTGGAGCTGGAGCCACGAAGGCTCGGCGGATCTCTTCTGTTGTGGCCATTCGAATGAAAAGCTGGTCATTTACGATGCACAAACTGTCAGTGACAGGGAAAAAGAATTTAAGTGTAAAGACAATGTTCAGATTTGGCAAATGAGTATGAAATGTTCATTCATTTCTTATGTTTAGTACGATTTTTCGTCAACATCGTACTGATAAAACACTCACATCCTGAGAGGATTAAAGGTGGACAACAAGAAGATAATAGAGACCACTGGGAGTTAACTAAACTTACCCAGAACCTCCTGCTGGGACTGTGATGAAAACCCTAGAGAAGGCCATAGTGGAGTCTCTGGATTTACCATCAACAGCGACTGTCAAACAGAGAACATGAATCAGGCACGAGTCAAACACCACCGTGGGCAGGAAACACATTTGATCCATTTTGAGCAGAACCCTCACCTTCTTTGAAGACCCCACTGACGGTGAACGACAGCAGTGTGTTCTGTGAGGGGACACGGAGGTCGAGCATTAATAAATGAAGAGAAGAATCCACTGACAAGTAATGAACAAACAAAACTATGATGGCCGTACCGTGTAGGTGTTCACGTCTATAGTAAAGGAAGTGATGTCATGCTGGGTTTTGGGCAACTCATTGAGGAAAGCCACGACATTCAGACGCGTGTGCTTCAAGAGACGGAATCTCATCGCTAAAGGAGAGGGAAAAAAATTAGAAAATATCCAGCCTCAAAATGTCAACTGTCTTAAGGGTCACATGGAAATGTCCAAGGAATGTTGGGTGGTAAATGAATACAGTCCATGTGGAGACAAAGAGGAAATCATGTAATGTTTCCCTGCTCTAGAGTAAATGCCTGAACTTAAAAGTAAAAATTTAAAAAAAGAGGGGAGAGAAACTAAAGGTAAACTCACTGGGATCTTTGATCCTCTTCAGGTTCCGAGTGTCTTTGAGATATTCTCCCAAACTGCTCCTAAACAAATAAATAAACCAGAAATTAGTATTTGGATTTTAGAGTAAGTTAGTTAATTTCTAATGTTTTTTAGATTTGAACGTTGTCTACATTACAGCCGCAAATGTTGACAGAATTTTTTTTTTTACCTGGATGGATTCTGGGAGGAGTACGGCGTTGTCAGGGACAACGATGCTCCATCATGGTAAGCGTCCAGGAGAGGCTGCCTGTTCCCAGAGTCGTATATACCATAGTATCTACAGAACAGTCACATGTGAGAAAATAGTAGAAAACTGAACATGTTTTCCATGGAATGTTTCAAAACAAACTTTAAATAAATTTACTTCGATATTTCTAATTAATAAAAAAAACTCACTGTTGTAAAAAGTGAAGGATCAGAACTTTGATTTCTTCTGAGCCGAAATGACTGCCCTGGATTGTCACATAAAATCACGTTAGGGGAGACAACAGAGTTTCAAATATAGTATTTAAAACACAGATATAAATGAGTCACCTTGCATGGAGGAATGGTGGTGGGTGTTTCCACATCAAATCCAATAGGTGGGGGGAGGTCTTGACCATCCTGACAGGAAGGAGAGAAAAATGATGAAAACCAGATGTTGGAACTGAAGTAGTCACGTACATGAACTTCAACTGACATCTTGGCTCTAACTGCAGTAATGTAATGATGTAATTTCTGAGAAAATGGAGGAGATTCAATTGAGAACAGTTCCAGACGCGGTGACTCACCAGTTTCAGAAGCCGTGGAAACCTCTGTCGCACAGCACTGGTGCAAAAGCAAAAATCAGATATAAAAGTTATCATCAAAACAACACACACAACAAACAACTGACATACACTTACACTGACCCAGCTGTCACTCACACCTGAATGCCGTTCGGTTCCTTTTAGTTGTTGTACTTTTAGTTACATGGGCAGGAATATTTGGGAAAATACAGAGAAGTACAGACAAATCATCTGAGGCTGAACTGTGTCTCAGAGGATTTGTTTTCTTGGCATTTGAGTTGATTGACTTGAACTAACGGCCGACCAAACCTGCTCTCAACCTCCCTGCAGTGTTTGTACCTTCATAACCGACCATTTTTCCCCCACCAAAAGTGTACTTACCAGCAGCAGTACTCACCCTCTCCCCAAACCGGTTCTCTACACAGATATGACATGAGGGAAGCAACACAAGCACACTTTTCTAAAAGCATACACACACCCACCCACACACACTCACACACGAACATGCAGAGACCCATAATGTACTACGGCACTGAAACTGGCAAACACAATAATATCGTAAGAGGAATAATAGTGTCATGGAATGCTGGGAAGGAAAAGGTGGCCGTCAGTCTCGCGTTTAGATCTCCCCCAAACTCTGGTCAAGATGTCGGGGAGCAGAGGATGAATGTAGGCCACCACAAAACCAAACAGGGTCTGGGTAAAAGAAATATAAAGTAAAATCCACACAGACAGTAGTCCAACATTCAGAAGGTGACAATTCCTGATGGAGGTGAGGTTTTTTTTTTGAGATGTGTCCGTGAAACAAAGAAAACCTGAGAACAGACCTCAGTTAAAAAGAAAGCGTGTCTCAAACTGAGCAGGACCCAGCAATCCCACCACACATCCCACAGTTCTCCGTACTGCAAGGTTCTCATCAACTCACAGCCACCGTTGTTTTAATGCTATCATTGTTCGTTCGTGTGTGTGCGTGTGTGTGTGTGTGTGGTTGTAAGGCCTGATGCTGGAGTATTCACGGTGTTCCACCTGACTCAGGTCTTACTTACAACCAGGCGACTGTAATGCCTTTTAATAAATACTAGTCGTCTTCACAGCCTTCACCAACTGCAGGTGTGTCTTTCATCTTCTTTTCAACTTATTTCATGACTTTTCATTTACAGTTTAGGACTAACTTCCAGCTGTAGTTAGTTGACTGTAATTTTCAATCTGTCCATTTTGAACACATAACGCCCAAGGCCATTTTTAGGCCAGGCAACATCAAGTTAGTGTTTGAGACAGACTTCCTTTGCTCTTTGGCTTATCAGCGCTCCAACGGCCCCATCTGTGTCAGCCCAGCAGCTCATTCTGTAGCAGTCCCATCTACTCTATTTCTTCTCATCTGAAATCAAGAGCTTCAAGGGACTGTGGACGAGTAATCGTGACTGTGCCTGCCTTAGGTTGTCCCAAGATTTAGAGGTGGGATCTTACCCGTCCTAGGCTATCCAGCCTTCCATACTCGCCCGATACAGGAGAGCCGTGTGGGCAAAAGGGTGCTACGAGGGGACCAAAAACCACTGGCCGTGAATTGTTTGTTTTTTTTATTCCCTTCATAAAAGCATTTGTCGGGACAACTGTGATGTGTCCTCTTCTTAACATCCAACGTTCACTGTACGATAAGGCTCAGAAGATTGTGAGTTTTGTGATTGCTGAATGTATTCATTGTTTTAATGGAGTTTTATAAATCAACATTTCTATGGTGGCGTTTTACAGCAGTTTGTGGGGAATCTAACCAGGTTGTCAGTAGAGAAGTGCTGGGTACGACATCAGTGAGGACCATAAATGACACCAAAGCATGAGAGATGTGCCACAAAAGGAAGATAAATGCCAAAGACAGGGCAGCCGTTCCCACAGGGAAGAGAGAAAGCAAGCTGAAAGGATAACAGTGAAGAGGCACAGTGTGATTAGGGCGTCAATAATATTTCAACTTAATAAACGTCAGTTAAAATGGGGGGAGAAAGGAAATATTAAACATCAAGGAATGTGTACAAAAAGAAAAAGCCAAACAACTACATGATTATGTAGAATTACATAAAGGAGCGATTTCTTGTTGTTTGAAAACATGTTATACAACCTTAATAAACTTATAAGCTCCTGTAACCTGCACTGCTGCTAGAAGTTAATAAATTTTAACATTGCTCCTGTAACCTGCACTGCTGCTAGAAATGTCACAAATGGCCTTAGGTCAAAGGCAACAGTGACATCATGTTGTTGACGAGTTGGAATTAAGACCGACATGTAAAATTAGCTCAAACTCTTTTTGTTAAGACAGTACTGACAGGTCAGTGTCTGCAGACAGTATAGGTTGTACTGCTCTGTGCCAACTTTACATATTAGTCAATAATGCCTTTTTGTTTGTTTTGTGTTGGTCCATACAGTAATACCAAATATCATCATACATGGAGCCGTTTCTACATCGGCAGAGGAGTCACCTGTGGCTCAGAAGGTCACAGAACAGTTCAAACTATTTTTCTCCAATTTGCACCAGATATTGTGGGGATGTTTATAGAGTAGCCATTTAAATATTTTATTAGAATGAGCTTCACATTGACTGCATTTGTCACCTGTTGAGGTGAGACACAAAGGCAGAAATCTGGACAAAGGCAAACTCATTTTCTTTGCATTCAGCTCAAGACTTTTTTGTCATTTCAAAGGTTGAGCAGGTCATACATTTCTGTGAAGCAAACAAGCTGCTGCAGCAACATCAATAATCCTGGACCATTCAGTTTTGGCCAGGAACCCGTCTTTTGCTTGTTTTGTGTTACTTTTCTACTCAATACCAAGTGTAATTAAAATGTTTCACCTCTTTTAGGAACTAACTACATCAAACATTGCCTGTTTGGTGTATATGCTCCAAATGTTAGTCCTTTGCTGTTGAAGTGTTTCCTCTCTCACACTCACACTGATCCTGCTTTTTGACACAGTGTCATGTGTTGTTGCTCTACAAGGACACAAACTCATGTACACTCCTTGTCAATTTTCCATTCACACCCACACCTCTGATCGTGTCCTCATCCCACCGAATCACTAACTGACCTGATGTACAAAGCCTGGTCCTTGAAGTAGTTACACAGAGGGTTCCTGTTCAACCACAGCTCCACCAGCTTCAGGCCTTTCAATTTGTCCAGCTCTCTGTCCGACTTCAGCTAGAGATTGACCCAGAGAAAGATGGTTAAAGGGGAAAAAATTCATAAAGTCTGATTATACTCTTCAGTTTAACGTGGACCAAGACTCACCTCATTGTGGGAAAGATTTAAAGTCTTCAGATTAGGCACTTTTCTAGCCAATTCAGCAAGATCATCCAGTTTGTGAATACGGTTGTTGCTTAGGTTTAAGCAGGTCAGCTGAAACATGAAACATGAATAGTTAATGAAAGAGCAGACAGGGCGTAGACTGCAGTACAACAATAGTTCTATTACTCTTTTATTGTCAGTGTTACCTCTGGAATGTTTTCTTCAATTATTGTAATTACAGCCTCCATGTGAGTCTTTCGATTCAAGGTGACTTCGATTTTCTGGGACACCAGGTCTATACAAAAATTATTTAAAATTTGTCAATGTCAATTTTTAATCAATCACATTTTTTGCAATAACGAACTCTACAAGGTTAAACATCAAACACTATATTTTCAGTAGATTTCTTTAACAAGGTAAAAAAAATGGAGCATGTCATTACCTGGATCTGTCCGGATGTTGTTTAGGTCAAGAGCTTGCTGAGAGCCATCAAAGCGTTTTGCCATGCATTGCTTTGGGATTTCAAAACAGTTCATATTAGAAGAAATGTCCACAAAAAAGGTAGTGAAAGATAACATTAGTTTTAATCCACCTCTTCAACTGTACACATCATCTACACATGCCATTAAGATAGATTTGTTATTTAGGACCTTTAAACCTACAGCTAAATGTCTCACCTTTAGGTGTTCTAGGTGTTCAGCCTTTAGGTCAGAGAGCAGAAAAGATGGTGGGGCGCTGGAGTTGACATGCACCTCCACCTTTAAAGAACAGACATCACATGGAAAAGAATATTATTAAAAAGTGTTCATGTTGTATCACACAAGTCAGGAAGCAGAAATATTTTGATGTTACAACTGAGTTTATTAATACATTTTTGTATAACATATAACTTAACATTTCTACAGCATTGATCATATTTAAATTATCACCCTACATACCTTGTAACCATCTGTGTCTGTGATCTTGTGCGAACATTTACGTAATGCAATGGCAACAGAGGAGTCGTCAATGTAGAAATGAGCTCTGTCATGGTCAACGTGATACTGGAAAAAGGGAGGAGAGATAATGACAAATGTTGATCTATCTAAATCAAGTCACCTTAAAATATAATCCTTTAAAAAAAATTACATTTATCAGTTCATTCAGATAAAAAAAACCAAGTGGATGTCTCGTTAGATTTGGTGAGAAAGAATAAGGAAAGCTACCTGTACAGGTGAAAACTGAACTGAACAGATGTTCTGAAGAGCTGACAATAACCATTTCTTGTCATATTTTCTTCCATGTGGTATCTGTAAAACACATATTAAAAGTTATCTCCACAGGCTTTCAAAGAAAAATATTTTTTATTCTGTCTGACTGTTGAAAAATACGCACTGTTACTTTGGACCAACCAGACTGGTTTTTTCCTCCACCACTGCCACCCGCTCCACCTCTTTCTCTAAAGCCACCCCCACCACGTCCTCCTGCTCCTCTGCCACCCCTTCCTCCTTTACCCTGACGCCGGTCTCGTTCAAACCGTCCTTCCCCTTTGCGGGGCGGTCTTACATATGGGTTGCTGAAACAGAGCAAATTCAAGAGAGAATGTAAAACAACCCTGTTTGTGTGTACATGACTTGGCCCTGAGGCAGAAATTTTATTGGCAATGATGGTGCACTAAGTCAGCACTTAATTCAGGCATCAACTACACTCTGACTAAGTCTATTTGTCACTTTTACTTACAATCTGTGTTGGTTAGCGTTGTCCTGGGAAGTGTCACTCATGTTTACATCGCCATCATTTTCTTCAAGCCTAGACCGTGGACCAGGACCTCCAAAGCCACCTCCCGGGTGACCCCCTCGCTGGCGATCTCTACGAGAACGGTCATATGACCGACCCTTGTGCGGGCCTCTACCTTTTCTACCGCGAAATGGTGCAGTTCTGTCATCGTGCTCTAATAAAAAAACATTTAAAAAAAAATTACATTTGCATCATAAATGTACACAATCATAAGATAAGGCTCTGACTTTAAATGTATACATTTAAATGACTATGCCAGCTGAAAATGTATACTTTTAATGACAGCTATGCAGACTTTGAAGGTTTTGTCAGAAAAATTTATCGACTCACTATAGTGAATTCACTATTTGTCCTGAGTGAACAGAGTATGAAAGTGCACTGCATAAGGACCACGTGTGATGTACATAATGCATCTGACAGTACAGTACAATTACGTTATGGACAGTTTGTATATACATGTGGTTTAAAGTTCACGGTCCAATTTCAAAATTATACAGACAGTTTTAAATCTTGGGGGGGAATAAACGGTTCGTTTTATAGCTTTATGTAGTCAGATCTCTCAGGGAAAACTAAGAAACACAGTACGGCTTTACACAGTAGAATTCACCGTAACGAACAGTTAAGGCTGTTATGGTGAGTTCCTTTTATTATAATTTTATTATTATACAAACGAGGAACAACCAAACATCTTTCCAGTGGCACTTTAACTCCATACTTGAAACAAAACGACCACGTTGCCTCATAATATGTACTTTTTACCTCCCCGAAGCGATTCGGAGCATCTGACATGTCTCCCTGTCATTAAGTCTCCTTGCTCTGAGAAAAACATTAAAAGAAGCAGAGAATGTATCAGAATAATGATGTAAAGGACACAGGTTCTTACCGTAGTAATGACTGCCATCCGCCATATTTCTCAGTTATTGTCGAAGTCACGGAACAATAACACACAATCTTGGGTGTAAAAAAAAGTCTCCCCGCTTTTATATAACGAAACGACAATGATATTTAAAAAACACTGACATCACGAGCGGATCAAAGGAAAAAAGACAGAGGTCTGGTCGATAAGTCCTTTCTCGCTAGCAGTTAGCAGGATTAGCTTCTTCACCAGATCGCGTTTGAGAAGAAAGAGGAAGCACTTCCTCCGAAGACTTTCAATTTCCGGTGGTGCCAAAGTAGCAGAATCTGCGAGACGATCGCAGTCATGTTTTCAACGCGATGATTTAAAATCTACTCTTCTAACTTGCTCTGTTGTTTAAAATGTTGTGGGATTTTCCCCTCTGTTTTTCGTTTTGTTGATCGATATGAAGTCATATGTATGTATTGCAATTGGGTGCAGTTTGTGCAATTTTGGTCCATTTAAATCTAAATATCTATTTGTAATCTCATTAAAATTATGACATTTTTGGATGCATTAGTATAAATAAATATATATTTTCTACTAACAGACCCCATCTTGGAGTCACACATTTCTGCCACTATATATAATACTGTCCCATAAGCAACTTGTTTCATAAAGACATGCCCTAAAGCTAATGGAAGCGTTTACTGATCAAGTTATTATTGCAACCCGACAGTACAAAATGTCTACGTAAAATAGATTGGGCAACATTTGTTGTCGTTTTTAACCAGGTGAAATTCTCTAGCGTGCTCAAACCACCAGAGTAATACTGTAGTTCTCTTGGTAATTGAGTCTGGAACTTGTTCTCGTGTTCTGTACAGTATTGCGTATCTCTTCCATTGACTAATGGTGGAGTAACACAAGTTTGATAGTAATAATATTTAGCAATACTTTAATACAACTATGTTTAATATTACAAAGGCAGTAACAACAAGTCAAGTATTTACATTTGGTTCAAGTGTGTATTTTTAATTGTATGTCCGAGACACTTTAAGATAAAGGCTAGAAACGTCGGAGACTTACCCTCATTCACCACACGTGTCACCACCAGATTAGCGTAATTTCTTTTAAACGATGTTTCTCGATCCATTTGGCAATTAGGCCTCCCCACTGGCCCGATGGTTAAAGTCGTTGAGTTTGGAATCACCGAAATATTAAACTATATTTAACGGCTTACCTCAGCCAGGTGAAAAGCCAAGGAAAGTTGTTTCACCTTTAACCAAAAGCTACCATGATCTCGAAGGCATATACGGTAAAACTCAAAATCGAAATAATTACTTAAAAGAAGAACTTTTTAAAGCGGTAATGTGGTTATGATAAACGTGTAGCTGGAACACCTGTTTGTCGGTCAGTTAGGTTCTATAACTAGTCCCGTTCACTAATAATAAAGCACAATGGCGCCCCCTGGAGATTTGTTTTCAACCAAAGGGAGTGAAAAGTGTCGTTCCGGAGATGATAACATTCGACAACAACCAAACTCTTCTCCCCCGAATGTGCTCATGAGGAAAATGTATTTGAGAGAAGTCCGATGTAGTAAGTTTGCCTCACCACAAATGCTTACAGTGCTGTGCCTCTTTTATCACATGACTCCTTTGAAGATTTCAGAGCAGGGTCATATATAAATAATATATAAATAAATAAAGATAACATAAGTTACACGGTGCTCATAATGTCACAATAGCCATACATTGATCTTAAAATTAAAAACAAATTGTATTAAAAAAATCCAGACTAGTATATCTTCATTATATGATTAACAACCCCAGATAATGCCAAGCAATTTTAAACGTATTGTAACCTTTATGACACGTAATAGAATTAAACAAAATGAATATGAAAATGCGGTTGCTGTTGAAAATCATCTGTGATGTGTTGTGCTCATAGTATATTATTAGATATTATATAAAAGATTTGTAAAGATTGATATGTAAAATTATGTAACCTTTCGTACGCATTTCTCACTCAAGGTAAAAAATTAAATAACTATGAAAAACATGACACCGTCAATAGTTCATCTAAATAATATACTGTTAGTGGAACCCACTACAGATGTTTAAATCCGTGTATCACTCGTTCATTCGGTTTTCTAAATCACGGATAACCGTTTTTCAGATTTCCAATGTTCGATGTTGTGCACAATTCAAAAACTAACGAACGAATGAAACACTGATTGTTTGGCAACAGACTGAAGACCAATTTATGACCTTACAAAGATGTCGCCCGTGTGCTTGGAATCGCTTCCCGTTTCCGTGTTTGCGTTAGGTCGCAGTGACGTAGAGGCGCACCGACGCTGACCACACCATCAGTTCGCGTATGATAACAATAAACAACCCAGAAACAAGAGATACGCACCGTCGAGACTTGTCGCTCTATATCGAGTGAAACGTAACGGAAATATGAGCCGAGACAACGATCCACAGCTGGAGTGAGGGCTCGACAAGTACCGTGGTACTCCTGTCGGCGCTGACATTATTAGTTTTTGTTTGAAACCTTGGGGGAAGTAAGAGTTACTGTTAACCTCCTTACTTAGCCCCCTTGTAGCTAGCTGTGGCTCATTCCTTCTTTCTGCCCACTTTGTGTTCGTCTGTTATGCAGTTGCCAGAGCACTGCGATCGCTCTTGTTCTCCTCCGCCACCTCTTTGCTCCCTCTCCCCGCTTTCGCTGGCCCTATGTCTCGCTGGCTTTTCCCATGGTCAGGCTCAATCAAGAAGCGGGCCTGTCGGTACCTCTTGCAGCACTACCTCGGTCACTTTTTGCAGGAGAGACTGAGCTTGGACCAGCTGAGCTTGGACTTGTACAACGGCAGTGGTGACATCAAGGAAATCCACATCGATGTTTGGGTGAGTGTTGTTAAAAAGAGGCGAAGAGAGAGGCAGTTAGCTACCATAAAAGATCTCACCTAGTGTTTTTGTTCGACTCATGTACACTTGACTGTTTCGCAACTCAGCTCGAGTTCAACAACAAACTCGGGCGTCAGACTCTGTAGCCTCGCTCGTGTTTCTTCGGAGAAATGCACTCTTGGGAAAGCAGCTCACCACATCATCTGTATCTCTCATTACTGTCTGTCTGACCAATAAGTTCAACATAGGCACTTTAACAAAGTCAAAAGAAAACAAATTCCAAAGGAAGTAAAACGTTCCAAATATACAGTTCCAAAGATGTTCTTCAAAGGAGGCGTTTATTCGTGTGTATTTTAAAGCAAGGGTTGATAGTTAACATTCTAACACAATGAAGAATGAAGAACTGCTGTTCTGTTAAAAACAGACGTGGAAAAGTGATTTAATCATAATAAATACATACAAATATAAGCATTTGGCTTTATATAAGCCAAAATCCCAAATCTAGTTTATTTTGTACAGTGCTCAGTCCTAAAAACTGTCTAGAATTATAAAAAAAATATTGTTTAACTTCATGCCTTTCTCCCCTGGCTGATACTGTCTAACTGTTCAACTTGTCCAGACATTGATCTCTGGATACAAGGTACAACACCATCAGCTCTGTTTTCAGTGATCACCAAGGCTTGGTCCCCTTAGGCAGCCTAGTCATACAAGTTAAAGTTATTTGTTTTTGTTTAAACCTTGCGTTCCTAAATAAAACAACAGTGACCTTGTGGGAGGAGACCAAAGTTGTTTTTAGGCAGAAGTTGTAAAGTTGTTGGTCCATACATACAATTGTTAATTCACACTCAGTGAAAGTGAAAAAGAAAGTGAAAAGATTTTATAGCACGTGTCTCTAGAGAAAAGCAGAGAAAGATACTGATATTAACCATAGGTTATATTTTTGAACAGAATGATATTAAATATTACATTTAATAAAATTCTGGTATTAATATTCTCCTTTGTTAGAATGTCTGCAGTAGTTAAGAATACCATGTAGATCGTGACATAACTGGTGTTTAATGTATGTTGCCACATTCGGCTAACATTAGACAAATACAAAGGTAGTTGTAATTCTTTCTTTCTTTTTTTTTTCTCCACTCGTTCACCAGGCGGTAAACGAGCTCTTGGAATCTCTGGGCGCTCCTCTGGAGATAGTAGATGGCTTTGTGAACAGCATAAAAGTGACCATCCCATGGCAGGCTCTCCTAACTGACCACTGCACCCTAGAAATCTCTGGTCTTCAGATAACATGTCGACCGAAGTACCGGACCAGTAAGTAGCTATATTTCAGCTAGTGTGTACACAAACTGGGTAGCTCGTTTATTAGGCTTATACTGAAGCAACAAACCCCTGTTGTTGTTTTTCTGCACCCAGGTGGAGGATGGGATTCCCAGGGCTGGTCATCAAGTATGACTTCCAGCATGCAGCTGGCCCAGGAGTGCCTGAAGGACCCCCCAGAGGCGTCCGAGGAGCCTCCTGCCCCACTGGAGGGGCTTGAGATGTTTGCACAGACTATTGAGACAGGTGATCCAAAGCCATGTGTTTGTCAGTGTCTGTGTCCACACTTAGTGAATGTCCGATCACAAAATCATACCAAAAATAGTGACATGCACACTGAAAATAATAGTGTTGTAAGGATAGGAAATCATTACCAGTGCTTCTGTTTATATTTGTGTCTAAAGTGATGTGATTGGAAGCAGCCTGGAAACTAGTTTCTTGAACTTGTATCTTGTCTCTTCTGTGTGTGCAGTCCTCCGTCGTATCAAAGTCACCTTCATAGACACAATTGTCCGCATTGAGCACCAGCCTCTGGACCTGGAAACAGGTGTTGCCTTAGAGTTGCACATTAAACGGTAGGTTGTTGCAATAAAAAATCTCCATATTTGCCATCAAATTTGTGGTCATTGTATTGTGATTTTTTTTTTCTGGATTTCAAATTCGTACTAATCGGAAACACTGTGCCGTATTACATTTAATAATGTGGCATTGACCTATAACCTGTTAAGACTTTACTGCTAGATTTTGTGCCTTTAAATAATCTTATTTCGCAATGCAAGTGTTTTAAAATATGCTCCTGTTTATATTTTATGTTTCCTGTATGTGTATATTTCCCACTTTATTGTGTTGAAAAAACGCCTGTTTTCACTGTGGAACAGAGTGTAACTCAATGCTGCCACTTGTCAAAGTACACGTGTGTAAAAGTGGCCGTGGTCATAAAAACATAAAAAACTTTTCTTTGTTGGTAAAGTACTCAGTATGACAAAGGCAGACAAGAGACTACACAGACTAAGTACTTCTCTCCTCTTCTGCTGCATTCCTATTCTTGTTGACACCAAGGTGATCACACATTTTAATAATAAATATCTCCTGTTTGGTTTTTGGAGTATTTGTACTGTAAGAAACAGGCTATAGTATTATTTAGAAGAGAGAGTCTAACTGAGGTCATGCAAGGATTGATGTATTACTGCAGGCCTCGTGTAGTGTGTTGTCAGTATGAGTAATCAGTGAGTAGTGTCAGGTTGATGGATGAGATACAGCAGCCATTGTTGTTTTTCCATACACAGGCAGTTGATGTCCAGACTCAGTGATATAAAATGAAAAGAAAGATAGTGACAATAAGAGGATAATAGCAGCATGCTAGAGCGGCCATAGTCCTTGTTTTACAGTTCACGTGAAACCATTGGACCTTTTATAGTTCACTTGTTTATTTACAGAGCTTTTCAGGGTAGTTTTGTTTATCTTTGGTCAGTGACCACAAGGCCACATCCTTTAAAGAGACAGATTTTCAACAGGACGACTGGTCTGTGTTCTGCCTGTTGCATCTGTATAAATATATAACCAGAAGCTGCTCTTTTGACTCGAGTCTGTCATTTTGAAATTGCCAGGTGTGCTCATTTGAAATTGTGTTGTGTCACTGCAGGCTGGAATACTTTGACGAAGCTGTGCGAGATCCAGCCAGTCAGACTGCTGTGCCTGTAGACATCCACCAGCCGCCTGCCTTCCTGCACAAAATCCTTCAGCTGAGCGCTGTGCAGCTGTTTTATGACAGCTCTGGTATAGTACAGGTGATGGACGCCGCACAGCTTATTTATTTCTTTTGTTTGTTGTTTCATCGTATACCTGCTGTATTTTGTCCTTTGGTTCCTTTGGAAAACAATCAGCATAGAAAATAGAATCCTGTTTGTTGTGTCACTCATTGGTTTGGGGGGTGGAGGGGGGTTCCTCATGGTCCTTTCACTTTGTACACAGCTAAATGGATCCGTTATCTGGTAACTAGAAAACCTCAAAATATTTGATTCTTTTTTTACAGGATCTTCCTGAGGGGGAAAACCCAAAGCCAGCTGATGCATGTAAAAAAGATGAGGAGGAAGAAGAAAACGATGATGATGAGGAGGAGGAGGAGGAAGAAGAAAACGATGATGATGAGGAGGAGGAGGAGGAAGAAGAAAACGATGATGAGGGGGGGGGGGAGGAGGAGGAAGAAGAAAACGATGATGAGGGGGGGGGGGAGGAGGAGGAAGAAAAAAACGATGATGATGAGGAGGAGGAGGAGGGGGAGGGGGAGGAGGAAGACAAAGACAAAGAGAAGGAGACAAAGCCTCCATCTCAGCCGCTCCTCATCGGAAGCTGCTCTGGTTTTATTGAGACCACTGTTAAGATCAAACAGAACGACATGCTGCCTGGACCACAGGTGTAGTTTCATTCAGTATCAAACAAAACAACAAAACAAAAGTAAAATCTCTCTCTTCATGTTCATCTGCATATGTCGTCTCTCTGTTTCTGTTTCTCAGTTTGAGTTGGATGGAAAAGTGGGCTGTATCCACATGCTGGTGACTCCAGATCAAATAACTCATCTGACAGACCTGCTGGCAGCCCTCTGCATAGAAACTGGTATGAGCTCAGCCTGATGACATGTGTACTACAGACACGCTGTGTGAAGTTCAGCAACATCTAGTGGTGAAGTAAAATCATTAAAGAAATGGACAAAAAATACTAGAAGCTGAAACCCATTCATCAGACCTGTTATGTCGACGTGCTAGTAGAATTATCAAAGAGTGTAACCCAAGACACACAATAACAACCTTGTGCTGTTTCCTCAGTAATATTGTCAGAGACATCATTACATGTCTCATAAATAAGCATGTGGTTTTACACTCGATTCTATTTCAGGAATGTATTGAATTAATCTCTGTTTTTCTTCTCTTCCCTCAGAGCCAGACACCAAGCGTGGTGGTGTCCTCAGCCGCCCTTTGGACTCGGATGACTTTCGTATGATTGAAGAAGACCTCAGTAAACAGCTTGGTTCCAGTCCCAGAGACAGAGATTGGGATGAAGAACCTGACCTTGAACCCTATGTTACTGGCCTGGAGAATGGAGGTAAAAATAGCAGCAGAGATCCACTCGACGTTATGGCTCTCAGAAACAATAATCTCAAAAGGTCATGTTATCTGCAATCATCACTCTAACCTGATTAATTTCACACCAATCCAACTCACTAATTTTTACCTACTTTTTTAAAATATTAAATAAACAATTCCCACCAGATTATCAACCTCTGACTGTGTCTTCGTGTCTGTGTGCCCACAGAAATGTTTTTCTCTATGGGCCCCACTGGGATGAGCAGCAGTGTGACGTCTGTGCGCTCCGGCAGCGAGCTGTCAGACAGTGATATGGAATCATCGACACACAGTCTCAACAGCCTTACACAGCCGACAGCACTTTCTGCACAGGTAGATGTTGGTATATTTTTAAATATTCAACAAACACAGAACTAAAGCTTGATAATGCAACCATCAAATCACATTTGTCGCCTCTCAGGGCATGATAAACTGTCCCAGGAGATACCCTGTAGCTGGCTGTCTGTCAAATCTACCACAGAGTCGGAGCAAAGGTAAATCATCACGGTTGTAAATAACTGTTAAAGTTAGTCACAAATACTATACACGATTAGCCTGCTGCCATCTTAAAAACATATCAACTGTTTCCCTCAGGACGCTCACACAGCAGCCATACAGATCAGATGAAGCCAGACGCTTTGCTCCGTCTGACGATTGGCGGCCTCACACTGACCCTGTTGCAGGAAGACCCACCCATTAACCCTGATAGGACCTCCTCATTGGCTCAGGTCTCTCAGGTGTTCTTTAAGAAGTTGGCCTCCTTCAAAGACAGCATGTTCAGTGAGAGAGACTTCCAGCATCTGAGAGGAAGCTTTGCAAAGGCCTGTCCACACTCCCATATAAGGTGGAGACACAGACACAATTGTCCTCGCTATGTTAAATTGTGTCCATCCATTGATTTACTCTTCAAAATTGTCGTGTACTCTTTCTAATCCTCCCTGTTGGCCTCTCACCCAGACTGACAGGAGCAGCAGTCCAGGTGGCTTGTGAGACACGGAGTGGAAGACGCCGCAGCCGAGCTGTGACGTCCGACCTCTCCTTCAGCAGACTGGAGCTGTTGGAGTGCCTCTGGGAAAATGGGAAGCCTGAGTATAATGAGGTAGAAAATCTCTGCTCATCACTGAACTGACTGAAGAACATTATTTCATGATCATTTAATATATGATTGTATAATAATAATAAACATGTTTCTTTGTTTCTCTGCAGTTGCTTCAGTTCCAGAAATCAGGTCTTTTCACGGTCGGGACTGCAGCCAGGCCGTGTGCCCAACTTCACTACAGCCTCAGTGAAAAACACCTGCGCAAGGTATGCACACGCAGCACATAAAAGTGTGTGTTTTACATCATAATGTCTCAGGTCTACAAAACACGTTTACATAATAAAACTTGGTTTACTACAATTATTACATTTTTGTAGGACATTCAACTCAAATTGGTTTATATCAGATGATTTTTCAAGTTTAGTGATTTCTTGATGGCTACTTATACAAAATAACATGAAAACTCCATAATCATGGATTATGTCTAATTATGAGCCTTGAAGTTTATGTGTGTATGTGCATGTGTTACAAGGGTAAACAGCGGGTGTTGCGTCGAGACAGTGTGGTGCGGGTGGAGCTGGCAGAGCTCAGTGCTGAGCTGGACCTGGACGTCATTAGCCGACTGGGGAACCTGAGCAAAGCCTTCAGTCACTGTCCCTCACAGACTGTTGGACCTGGACTCACACAGGTGGAGCAAAACATTTTAGAACATTGTTCCAAATATATTCAATTTTCTCCACTTCATGAAATTGTCCATATATTTTGGAACATAAAATGCATATCATACTGAGTTCTTTATCTGTATTATAAACCAGAGTTTTTATTACCAGAATTGCATTATTTTGGTTGTCTTCGTTATAACTGAAGCACTCCTTACATGTTAGAGAATGATGTAGACAGTGTACATTTTTCATTCAAAAATTAATTCAAAGATTCCTTCCTTTTTATCCTCACAGCCCCAGGCTACAGAGCTGTGTTCCTCCTTCACACTACTCTCGCCGCATGCCGTCCTAAAGCTTCGTTTTCCCGTACCTGACCTACGACCCCTCTCTGTACGTCGGCCTCCCGCTCAGAGGGCCGTACGAAATGAGACCCTGGTTCTAGAGCTGACGGAGCTGGAACTAAAGCATCAGGGAGCTCCAGATCTGTTGGGCGGCCAGGCCACCCAAGGACAGCCAATGACTCCCTGTCTCACACAGCTACTGGAGGCCTCTTTTACTGACCTCCAAGGTAAAATTATTCTATGTGAATAATAAATGATCAACATTCACTGCTCATTGTTGTTTATCTGTCCCCATGTAACCAGTTAGCTTTAAGGGTGAACATATTGGCCTGTAAATGATCCACACATGAAAACTTTAACAGTTTTCTCTGGTTACAAAAACGTCTTTCTTGATCCTGTTTTGTCTATGGTGAATGTGTGGAGTTAAACAACAACACAGATTTGCAGTGTCGTCATAAGCAGCAAACATGTCCATTTGAACTTGTTCTGCGGACAGCCACAAGTGCAGTCTGGTGTTTAAAGTGATAATCAAAGACTATGACATGTCTCTGTAGACAAGGTAGAATATGCTGACACACACTCATGTACACGTGAGCAGCATATTGACCTAGACCTACATTAAAGTGACATAAATAATTCATTAAGTGGTAATATATTGCTTATAAATAATAAAGCAACAAAAATGAATGTGTTCTGTCTGATCAGGGTCATATGAGGGCTGGGAGGGCGGCTCTTTCCCCTGTATCAGAGTGAAGAGGAACCGTGAATGTCTTCCCCGGTCAGTGTTGAACTTCAGCCTATAACTGAATATTATTCACATAGAATAGAATGTTTTTAGTTTCATCTACTAAAATAGTTCAGATGTTTGTGATGTCTATCAGCACAAACCAGATAATGTTGTAATCATTCTCCCACATGTTTCTGTGGACAGAATATCAGTTCGCGTTCGTGGAGGTGAGGCTCAGGGACCCGCAGCAGGTCTGAGTGGGACAAACCTGGGCCTCATCAAGGACCTGGGAAATGCCTTCTTTGAAAGTCACTGTGAATTCAATGACAAAACCAGCTCGCCCTTCTCCTCTAACCGCACCATGTTTGAAACTGAGGAGGTTTGTTGAAACAAACAGAGCTGACTCACGCGTCTCATCAGTCATTTCTACTTTTACTTTAGACATAAAGCACTCTTCCTCCTGTCTCCTGTGTTTCAGATGGTGATTCCAGCCGACCCAGAGGAGATGCGTCAGTTTCAGACACAGTGTGTCTCTCAGTCTCAGTGTGCCGTGGACATCAGTCTGCCACTGGCCTACATCCTTCTGCCCAGCAAACAGGCCTTCCAGAGCATCTACAACAGGTATTTACAAGGTTTCCCTCTATTATATTGTATTCTAATCAGTATTTGTATTAAATGTGATCTCGAACAGACAAATCCCCCAAAGTACTGATTTGGTTTTGCCATTGAAAGTAAGTTATTCTTGTGTTTCTTTTTTTCCAAAGAATCAACAATGATTTGTTGATGTGGGAGCCTCCTCCTCCTCCCCCACCTTCAGTCCACAGCCCCCACCATAACTTCCATACTCATGATGAGTTCCAGCTGTGCAAGTCAGCCTTCAGATTGGGTGAGTTTGTCCTGTTCCACCGCTCTTTAATCAGTGAGGCTGATTTCTAAGATGAGGCGTCCTCCTACAGGTGCTGAAGGAAATATAAACTTCATCTCAAATGTGTTTTTCTTTTTAGACTCTGATTCTGAGGAGGACGAACCGGCGTTCTTTATGGCCAATGACCCATCAGGAGGAAGACAACAGTCAGGCGTCAGCTCCAACCACAACCTCAGCCTCCTCTCCCTCACTGTGATGATTGACAAAGGACGCCTTCAAGCCAGAACAGACAAGAAGGTGAGTCAGGTGATTGTCTGTCTGTTGATTGTATAACGACACTGAATAATTGAAAGCACCAATCAGACTAACAGAATCCCTCTATTCACTGTAAGTCAAGGAAAATGAACCTTTCAAATGCCTGTCATTGATTCAGGAGGACCAAAGTCATGGGGAAATTGTACTGGACCTAGAAGGAGGGAAGATATTCAGTGTGGCCCAGCATCAGAATGATCCTAATCTCAATTTTCTGTGTCTGGAGAGCAGACGAGTTGAACTCTACCACAAAGGTTCACACTGTCACGTTGTCTCCCAACCATTTATACCAAGTGAAGTATTTGTAAATTGTAAATACATTTTTAAAAAAGCGTACTCATTAGCACGTTTTTCTTTCACAAACTGCAGCGGTTGTAAAAGACACCCCTCTCCCTCCACGGTTGGAGATGCCCAACTTCACTCCACTAAAACACTTGGACCCAACGATCTACCCCACTGAGGTGGGCGTGAGCAGTGTGAGTGGCAGAGAGGGAGAATTACAGATGTTGTCCACTGCCATCAAAATCACACTGGATCTCCAGAGAAATGTCAAGGTTTGTCTCGTGTTTCATGCACCCTATTTTACCCTGGTTCACTGAGTGGACAACGTTCTAATATCCGTTTCCTTCTTGTAGGAGTTTTTAGTTGCCCTGCGACTTCAGGGCGCCACCTTGAGACATTATGTGACGCAGACAGATCAGAGCTGGCACGAGCAGGTGAGGAGCAGCGTTATCATCGTGTCAAAAGTGGAATATTTGCCACTTACAAATGTGCTAGTACATTATAAAGTTTTGGCTTAGTTTGTGAATTGTTTTAAAATGTTGAATATTTGTTCATTTATTAACTCCTGTTCTTTATTTTACCTTCTGTGTTTGTTTGTCTGTCTCAGTTGGTCGACTTCCTGGATGTCATTGACGATCCCATTCTTGGATACACAGCACCTGCTGTCATCACAGTCCTCCACACACACCTGGGTACCTGCGCTGTCGACTACAGGTCTGTAGTTGGAAAAGAGTTCATGTCCAAAGATGTCAGTCTCAATCACGATTTCCTTCTGTCGTAACCCTGCCTCTCTGTTGGACAGGCCTCTCTATCTGCCACTGCGCATGTTGTTCACAGCGGAATCCTTCTCTCTGTCCAGTAACATCATCGTAGACACTGCTACCTTCCACCTCAGGTACTGTATGTAGTGGATATAATGTAGAAGTACATGGGGATGATAATCATCAGAGGAAATACTGGCTGTCTGTGTAAGACTGGTGACATCACAGTGTGTTTTTGTTACGTTGTACTCAGATTCATCCTGGATGATTCTGCTCTCTACCTCTCTGACAAATGTGAGACTGACACGGTTGACTTGAGAAGAGGTGAGTCACAAGACGTGGGTTAATTTGGTTAATTGTCAGCATAAACATGTATCTGTGTCTTTCTCATGATGATGAAATTAAAAAAAAGTTTTAAAGTTTCTCACTTCAAGGAGGCAGAATAACAACAACAACCACTAGAGTGTAAAGTTGTTGAGGTAAGTCCTTAATAACGGTGACGTGTCTTTGTGTCACACAGACTACGTGTGTGTTCTGGACATAGACCTGCTGGAGCTGGCCATCACCACGTGGAAAGGCGGTGATACTGGTAAACTGGTGAGTCTTTCCTGTGTTTAGATGTGTCTGTTATCAGAACATATGAACGTACATTTTCTCTCCTCCCTGTACTTCATTGTTTTATGTCCTTCAGTCACAGCCTCTGTTTGAGCTTCGTTGCTCCAACAACGTGGTCCACATCCACACCTGTGCTGATTCCTGCGCCGCCCTCGTCAACCTGCTGCAGTACCTGGTCTCCCAGGGGGACCTCCACCCCCCACCACGGCACACATCACCCACAGAGATCGCTGGACAAAGGTTACCGGTAAGGAATTTGTGATATCATCACACTCGATGTGCTCTTGTTTTGTACATAAAAATGTCCTGTTGTTTGTTGATAGCTGTCAGAAACGCAGGCCTCTGTGCTGCCCTGCCCTCCGGCTGAAACCGCTGAGATCAACCAGTGTGACCTGGCTGATGCCTTAATTGACACAGAGAGGAGCTACAAAGAAGAAGCTTTAGATCCAGGTGCTGCGGTTTTTCATACTTTAGCACATAACACGAGTTGTGTTACATGAATTGCATGTATTGAAAATAACATGTTTGGAAGTGGAGTTGTACTTATAATTACTTTGGACCAAACTCAATGTAGGAGTTGTAAATCTGGTGATATACTTTTGGACGTAAAGAAGAGCAGAGGAGAAAGATGAGAATTTTGATCTCCTTTTTCAGGGTCTCCTTCCATGAGAAGAGCCTCACCCGTCTCCGTCTACCTATTTCCTGGTGAAGCCACAAAGCACAAACCCCCTGTCCTGCAGGGAGATGACTCAGAGCTAGACGGACTGGTAACCGTGGCAACAGAGGCTCAGGCAGATATGATGTCAGAAGATGGCTCAGATGTATCCACTGATAACGATGACTTCTGCATCCTGGAGGCTCCGG